TTCCTTCTCTCTGTATCTTTTACCTGTTGCCCTTGCGACAGCTTCATCAAAACACATGCTGATGCCGCTGGTTCTTTTGGCCTCCCTGTCTAACTCCTTCGTTCCATCCTTTCTCAAACTCCCTCCATCCCAGGTCCCTCTCCTTTGCTTTTGTTCTTCTCTATCCTGTTCTATCTCCCCTTCCAAACTATGGCATGACTTTGTGTCCTTCAGCTGTTTTTTTGCCTGACATGCCTTGTTTTCCTCCGGCCTCTCCTTGTCTGTCCCTGTCCCTTTTTCTTGCTCTGCGTTGTGGTTATCATGGTTTTCTGCTACGTCCCCTATTTCTGCATGTCTGTTTTCTTCATTTTCGGTTTCTTTCTTCGGAAGCCCTCTGTCTATATGATGCCTCTCGGTACATGTTGGCTGTATGGGTTTCTGTTGTCTCTCGGTGTCTCTCTGTTGAAACTGTTGTCTGAAAGCTGTGATTTTGGCATGCTGTGGTTTAGGTGGTACAACAGGAACAGCTTTCACTTGGTACATTTTGTGTTTGGATATAATCACTGTCCTGCCCACGCCTATCCCAAGCCCTGCACCTCTTACTCCATCTCTATCTTTCATTCTTGGAGGTCTCAGTGGTTTCTTCCTCTCTGATGTAGAAGGATCTTCATGTTTCTCCTCTCTCATGCTCTCCTTCTCCTTTTCGCTCTGTCGTTCCTCACCATCCTCCGAATGCCTGTCATCGTCTTCACTCAGCTCTTCAGGAACACTTCCTTCTTTTAGTTCTGCAACGCCTTCTAAATGACAGTCTTCGTCATCCTCCTCCATTTTTTGATCATTCTCTTCCCCGCCGTCACTTCCTTCCTTCTGCTTTTCAACATCTGCATCTTCCATCTTATTCTCTAAATATGTCTGCTCCTTTTGTGGAACCATGTCACTTCCTTTTGCCATCTTATCCACATCCACCTGATTTGTAGGACCCTCATCATTCTTCTCTCCCTCAGTGTGCTCACTTTCTGTACTCTCTCCCTTTATAATCGTCTTTTCTTCTGTCTCCCTTGCGTCTTTCCCTTCCTCTACCTTCTCACCAACTTCCCTTTCCTCACTCAGCACCACCCCTTCCAGATCATTCCCATCTGTCTGTTCTTGCATGTTGATATGCATAATTATTTCTGCTTTCACTGACAGTTTGTCAGTCTCAGTTTTATTTTGAGTTGTCTGTAATTCAGGGCTTGTTGTGTCTATTATAGTCTCACTTTCAGCAACGTCAACATAACTATCAGTACTCTCCTGTTGATCATCAGAGCTTGCAGGTTCCTCACTGATAACAGGATCAGTTGTGGAGGATGTCTCAACGTTTCCACTGTTGTTTGGTTCCACTGTGCATGAAGGTGGGTCTGGACCAAAATAAGTGTCCTCTTGGTTTTCATCTTCTGCAGAATGACTGTCTTTGTGACTGCAAACATAAACAAGGAAAAATGTCTTTTTTAGAGCCCTCTAAATGAATTGTAATTGCAGTGAAAACATTGACAAGCTTTCCCCCTCATATGTCCCTACATCACATGCTGAGACTTCATGAGGTTCCTTGTGAGGTGTCTTTTGAGAAAAAGAGGCAGAGCTAATTTCCAGGCCAAAAAGTATAAATAATAAAGCAAGCAGCAAGATTAATTTCATGCCAACATTTTCTATAGTTTTATGGTGTTCTAAACTAAAACAAGTGTGTTAGAAATGGTTCTTTATAGTGGTGCCATATAAGTACTAGGGTTTGTTATACCCTTAGGAGGGTTCCTCCAGGGTTTGCCTGATAGTTAAGGGTT